TCATTCCGTTGGTTCACTCCTCAAATGGCTGCAACGGCCGGAGCTATGCCAATCCAAAGCCAGGAGCCAGGTGCTTTTTCCAGGTCTCCCATGCAGGTACAGAGGCCCAAGCACTTGGGCCATCTTCTACTGCTTTCCCAGGCCATAGCAAAGAACTGGATTGGAAGAGGAGCAGTGGGACTAGAACCAGCACCTATATGGAATACTGGCACCGCAGATAGAGGATTAACCTACTTTGCCACAGCACCAGCCCAAGGGATACATTTCTTTAAGATGAAAATAATATGTGGGGGCCAGTGCTGTGGAACAGTGGGTTAATGCCCTGGCCTGAAGTGCCAGCATCCCTTATGGGCACCAGTTCTAGTCCTGGCTGCTCCACTTGCAATCCAGCTCTCTGCTATGGCCTGGGAAAGCAGTGGAAGATGGCCCAAGTCCTTGGGCCTCTGCACCCACGTGGGAGACTTGGAGGAGGCTCCTGGCTCCTGGCTTTGGATCGGCACAGCTCCAGCCATTGCGGCTAATTGTGGAGTGAACCAGCAGATGAAAGACTCTCTCTTTCTCTCATTCTCTCTCTCTCTCTCTCTCTCTCTCTCTCTCTCTCTCTCTCTGTGTGTGTGTGTGTGTGTGTGTGTAACTCTTTCAAATAAATAAATCTTTTAAAAACATAATATGTGTATCTGGTTTTTTTTGAAGTTTCAATCTTGTGTTTATAAACTTTATTTCCTAACTCAACAAATGAGAATACTTTCATGATACAAAAAGCAAGAACATCTTTTTATCAATAGCTTCTCTGAAAGGAAAAAAAAATAATAAAGCAAACTATGAAGTGAAGAGGGACCACAGTGCTCTCAAAGTAGAAATGTGTGATTTGTGTATAAACTTTAAAATAGCAGGCTACCTAATTATTCCAGACAGTAGAAAAAGCAGTATGAGGCAGGATATAACAGGTGAGACTAAACAGACCAAAGTGCTCATCAGATAATTCACTATGGCTTCTCTTTCTCTTTTGACTTCTCATCAAGTATGAGGTAAAGAAGGACTGCTCCTTCCCTGTGCAGGAACAATAGAGAATAAAAAAGGGAAAACTTACTTTACACCATGTTCCTGTAATAGTTCATATATGGTAAGCAATTTAGGAAAAATGGCCGGTGCCACGGCTCACTTGGCTAATCCTCCGCCTGCAGCGCCGGCACCCCTGGTTCTAGTCCCGGTTGGGGTGCCGAGTTCTGTCTCGGTTGCTCCTCTTCCAGTCCAGCTCTCTGCTGTGGCCCGGGAGTGCAGTGGAGGATAGCCCAAGTGCTTGGGCCCTGCACCTGCATGGGAGACCAGGAGGAAGCACCTGGCTCCTGCCTTCGGATCGGCGTAGTGCGCTGGCTGTAGCAGCCATTTGGGGGGTGAACCAATGGAAAAGGAAGACCTTTCTCTCTGTCTCTCGCTCTCTCGCTCTCTGTCTAACTCTGCCTGTTAAAAAAATATTTAGGAAAAACTATACTTCCAACTCAAATGATTTAAGGACAATTATAGATTAAACATATCTTTTAACTATAGTAATTTTCCATTCAAAAAGAATGTGTCCTGGGTGCTCAACTCCTGATACAGCTCCCTGCTAATGTCTTGGGAAAAGCAGCAGAAGATGGCCCAAATGCAGAGCCATGCAGAGCCTCTGCAACCATGTGGGAGACATGGAAGAAGCTCCTGGCTCCTGGCTTTGGACTGGCCCAGCTCTAGCCATTGGGGCCATTTGGGGAATGAACCAGCACATTTAAGATCTCTCTCTCACTTGGTCTCTCTCTACCCCCCCCCCCCACACCTCTAATAAGCCTTTAAAAAAGAAGTGAAGTAGCCAGGACTTGAACCACCACTCCAATATGGGATGCCAGTGGCACGATCAGCAGCTTAACCTGCTGTGCCATAACAATGGCCCCTGTTTGAAATATTTTACAAAAAAAAATCAGAAAAATATATATAATTCCATTATGAAAAACATTAACTTTTTTTTTTTAGACATTTTTTTTTTTTTTTTTGACAGGCAGAGTGGACAGTGCGCTGTGGCTGGCGCACCATGCTGATCCGAAGCCAGGAGCCAGGTGCTTCTCCTGGTCTCCCATGTGGGTGCAGGGCCCAAGGGCATTAACTTTTTAATTGATAGTTATTTTATACTTTTAATGTTTAGAAAGCAAGCCTTAAGAAAAAAGTGGAAGAATTGGAAAAAAAACTTCATGTAGCATGTGGAATTCTGTTTAATAGTTGGAATTTTATATTATAATCTTCAAGGTAAATTTATCACATCAATTTAAAAGCAGAGGTGGGTGCTTGGTACAGTGATTAAGATGCCACTTAAGATGAGACACCTGCATCCCATATCAGAGTGCCTAGGTTAGAGTAGTAGCTCTGCTTCCAACTCCAGCTTCCTGCTGGTTTACACCCTGGAAGGCAGTGATGATGCTTAGCTGCTTGGCTCCCTGTCACCTATGTAGGAGACCTGGATTGAAATCCTGGCTTCTGGTTTCATCTTGGCCTAGCCCTGGCTGCTGTGGGCAATTGAGTAGTGAACCATTGGATGGAATAGATAGCTATCTGTCTCTGTCCCTCCTTCCCTCTCTCCTTCTCTTTCAAGTACATTTTTAAAAAAATTAAAGCACTATATTGAGAGCTCATTTCTTCTATTGATTGCTTATTTATGAATTAAAAAGAATTATAATTTGAAATGTTTTCTCTAGAATTTTTACTTTTTTGCCTGTCCAATTATTGATTAGTGCGATTGGCATGTTTATTAAAAAAATTATTTGAAAAGCAGAGTTACAAAGAGGCAGAGAGAGAGCGAGAGAGAGAGCGAGCATCTTCCATCCACTGGTTCACTCCCCGAATAGCCACAACAGCTAGAGCTAAGCTGATCTGAAGCCAGGAGCCAGGAACTTCTGGGTCTCCCACGTGGGTACAGGTACCCAAGCACTTCAGCCATGTTCCACTGCTTTCCCAGGCACATTAGCAGGGAGCTGGATCAGAAGTGGAGCAGCCAGGACTTGAACTGGTGCTAATATGGGATGCTGGCACTGCAAGCGGAGGCTTTACTGGCTACACCACAGTGCCAGCCCCACATTCATATTTTTATAAGTATGCTTAATGTTTCTTCAGTTTTGGTTTACATTCACATTGTGAAGGGGAAAGACTTAGAAATATTCTTTTTTTAAGGTTTATTTATTTATTTGAAAGTCAGAGAGAAAGTTATACAGAGAGAGGAGCGGCCGAGAGAGAGGTCGTCCATCCACCAGTTCACTCCCCAATTGACCGCAACAGCTGGAGCTGGGCTGATCCAAAGCCAAGAGCCAGGAGCTTCTTCTGGGTCTTCCACTAGGGTGCAGGGGCCCAAGGACTTGACCATCTTCCACTGCTTCCCCAAGCCATAGCAGAGAGCTGGATCGGAAGTGGAGCAGCTGGGTCTCTAACTGGTTCCCATATGGGATGCTGGTGCTTCAGGCCAGGGTGTTAACCCACTGTGCCACAATGCTGGCCCCAGAAATATTCTGATCATATTTCTAACTGAGTGAAGCTTTAATCCATAGCAAAAAATAATCAGTCTCTTGCCATTTCTCTCTCAGATAACATTTACAAAGAGAAAAGAATCAGTTTCTCTCCCTATAACTGAGTATCTGATTATAATTTTTTTAAAGATTTATTTTAGTTATTTGAGGGACAGAGTTAGAGGGAAAGACAGAGAGGTCTTTGATCTGCTGGTTCACTCCTCAAATGGCCACAATGGCCAGAGCTGAGCCAATCTGAAGCCAGGAGCCAGGAGTTTCTTCCAGGTCTCCCACGTGAGTTCAGGAGCCCGAGCATTTGGGCCGTCTTCACTGATTGTTGAGGCACATTAGCAGGGAACTACATCAGAAGTGGAACAGCCATGACTCCAAAGTGGAGCAACCTAGAGCCAGTATGGGATGCCGGCACCACAGGCAGAGGCTTAACCTACTACACCACAGCTACGGTCCCTCTGATTATAATTTATACCTCCCTGAGTGTTGGATAATTGTGAAAAGTGGATTATTCTGAGAACTTTGTCATTATTGACTAATGCTGACTGTCTCAGCAACTGAAGGTTCTTCCAGGTTTGTAGACAAAAGATTTGAAATAATGAGAAACGAGTTTGTGAATGCAAAAAGCTAATGATTACATGAGAAATCGCCAAGTTTCCAAGATTTTGTATATGAATTCTTTTTGCCATTTAGTGAATAGTAAGAGAGTGGGCAGAGAAACAAAATGGTCATGGAAAAATCAAATGCCAAAGTCTTTAATTGCAGTGTTTGCAGCCATTGCATCATTTAAAGTTTATGGTCAATTTATCAGTCTTTTGATAGTGCTGTGGTCTAGATATGGTCTGAGAATCCAAGGATTCATGTGTTGGAAACTTGATCCATAGGGTACACATTAGCAGGAAGCTGGATTAGAAGCAGAGCTAGGGCACAAATCCAGGGATTCTGATGTTGGATGCTGATACCTCAAGTCACCACTTGAGCAAGCACACTTGTGGCAAACACAGTCCTCAAAAATTAATTTCTGGGGCCAACAGTGTGGCACAGTAGATTTAGCCACAACCTGGCACACCAGTATCACATACAGGCATAGGTTCGAGTCCCAGCTGCTCCACTTAGAATCCATCACCCTGCTAATGCATCTGTGAAAGCAGTAGAAGATGGCCCAAGTGCTTGGACTCCTGGCACCCACATGGGAGCACCAGATGGATTTCCAGGCTCCTGCCATCAGCCTGATCTCTCATTACTGAAGTAGTCCCTCAATTTAAATTCCTTGAGTATATGTTTGATAATAAAGTAGTACTCTTGTGTCATAAGAAGCAGTGTAGTTTATGATAAGTGTTTAAACCATTACTTTTTAAAACCATCTTTATAAACTAAATAAGGATCATCCAATTAAGTCTTGAAATAAATCAGAATGTATGACAAGTGTCACTTCATTATGCATTAATGAATTTACTATTTTTGTAGGACTGACTGCTGATGCTAGAGTGGTAATAAACAGAGCTCGTGTGGAGTGCCAGAGCCATAAGCTTACAGTTGAGGACCCAGTCACTGTGGAATATATAACTCGCTTCATAGCAACTTTAAAGCAGGTAAGCTTTTTTACCTATTCTAACATTTCTTTTTTTCCATCATTATAGGTCATGTCCTAGAAATACTATAATCACTTCAATTAGTTATTCTATTAAATTCCTTATTCTTTCACATGCTTATTTATATCTACCCTCTCATTCCAGTAGAATGGGCTCGATTTCATCACTGCCAATGTAATCCATGTCAATTCTGCTAAAATTTTAAAAGACAAGGGATTGGGGCCGGTGCTGTGGTATACAGGTTAAGGCCACCGCCTGTAGTGCCGTATTCCATATGGGCACTGGTTCAATTCCTGGCTGCTCCACTTCTGATCTAGCTCTCTGCAATGGCCTGGGAAAGTAGTGGAAGGTGATCTATGTCCTTGGGCCCCTACACCCTCATGGGAGACCTGGAAGAAGCTCCTGGCTCCCGGCTTCGGTTTGGCGCAGCTCCAGCCATTGTGCCCATCTGGAGAGTGAACCAGCAGATGAAGATTCTCACTCTCTCTCTTTCTCTCTCTCTCTGCCTCTGCCTCACCTCTCTGTAACTCTTTCAAATAAATAAATAAATCTTTTTAAAAATTTTTAAAAGAACAGTCTGATCTTTCAAGATAATTTTTTAACTTCTAGAGATATTAATAATAATAACAATAATTCTTTCAGGTTTTCCAAATTAATATATATTATCCTTAATTCTATAAACTTAAGTGCAGCTGATCAAGCTTAGATATGACTTGTTTTGAATCCGTGGGTAGAAGCGTGGCTTCATATTAAGTATGATCATGATGTACACATGTATTTTTTTTCATTTTTGTTATATGTACTTTATATATAGCAACATTGTCCATGCAATTATTTTTACTGTTTTCATTTAATACTGCTTCTAGTTCCTTTTTGATGATTTAGTTATACCGTTTTCCATTTCTTTTATAAACTGCCCCACCCTACTCCACTACTATAATAACATCACTCTATCTTGGTCACAGCATTTTTTTTTGCTCTTTGAATATTATATTGTTAAATTAATTTTTAGTATGGGATTACTAGATTTGAGATTGTAATTGATTCTAATACTCTTGTTATATGTGGCTAAATTGCTTCCTAGGAAAATTGAACCAATTTTTATTGTGCAACTAGCAATGTGTAAATGTATCCCTGAAGAATCATCAGCATTGGGTTTTTCATTTTTCTTTTATTTTGCAAATAACTATCACATTGTACTGCAATAGTTGTTTTAATTTGTGTTTTATAATTAGCAGTAGGGCTGAAATTTTTCACATCGGTTCGCTATTTTCATTTTTGCGAGTGTAAACTGTCTTTCTTTTAAGAGACACTTGAGTGGTTAAGTGTGGTGCAAGAGCCAAAATATGGGGCATTGAATTCTTAGTACCTTGGGGGAATCTATTTAGCTTCCTTTTGTTTCAGTTCTCTTATTTGTAATTTTTTTTTTTTGACAGAGTAACACAGTGTGAGAGAGAGACAGAGAGAAAGGTCTCCCCTCCATTGGTTCATCCCCAAAATGGCTACTACGGCCAGTACACTGTGCCAATCCGAAGCCAGGAGCCAGGTGCTTCCTCCTGGTCTCCCATGCGGGTGCAGGGCCCAAGCACTTGGGCCATCCTCCACTGCCTTCCCGGGCCACAGCAGAGAGCTGGCCTGGAAGAGGAGCAACCGGGACAGAATCCGGCGCCTCAACCGGGACTAGAACCTGGAATGTCGGCACTGCAGGCTAAGGATTAGCTTAGTGACCCACGGCGCTGGCCTTATAAAATGGTTCTTATTATTATTATTTTTTTTTTTGACAGGTAGAGTGGACAGTGAGAGAGAGAGACAGAGAGAAAGGTCCTCCTTTTGCCGTTGGTTCACCCTCCAATGTCCGCCGCGGCCGGTGCACCACACTGATCCGGTGGCAGGAGCCAGGTACTTATCCTGGTCTCCCATGGGGTGCCGGGCCCAAGCACTTGGGCCATCCTCCACTGCACTTCCTGGCCACAGCAGAGAGCTGGCCTGGAAGAGGGGCAACCGGGACAGAATCCGGCGCCCCGACCGGGACTAGAACCCGGTGTGCCAGCGCCGCAAGGTGGAGGATTAGCTTAGTGAGCCACGGCGCCGGCCATAAAATGGTTCTTATAATAACAGATTATGTTGAGTTGTAGTCAGTCATTTAATACATAATACATTTCAAGCTTTTAGAGCACATTTTGGTGTGGATTATACCATGTGTCTCTGTAGACTTTTAAATAAACCCTGTACTTTTTATATATTGAAGTTTTAACAAAATTGCCCTATTTGGGATTTTTAAATTTATTAATTCATGTTATAAGAAAGTCCAACATTTTTTTATTATTCTACTTTTCTATTTCATTTGCTTTGATTTTTCCAGTTTTTAAAAAGGCATTCATCAGGAAAAGGTGGAGACAGAACATTGTATACATAGGATTCCCCATTGTAGCTTTTAGATTTCCTTCTAGAATATCAGAGCTATACATAGAATATTTATGTAAACATAGTCATAAGTCTCTAAGCAAAGGTATTGCTGCTGGGAAGGCCTGGGGCTCTGGGTCAGAAGATAGATATCTCATGTGTACCTTTGTACTTTCAGATTATTTTAACCCTATGCATATATTAGTTTTTCATTAAAAATTCATTAAGCAAATAAAGTAAATAAGTCTCTCCTCTAAGAGTGTTTATAAAACATTTTCTTCATACCTAGATGTGAAATGGAAACATTAGAAAGTAAGAAGAATTCAGACAAATTCTGTTCCTTAAGAGTTTACTTACGTTCATAGTCAGCTATTTACATTCAAACATTGAAGTGGCTTATAAAAATATATAAAATTTAAAAATTAGAGTGTAGATACGATACACGTATAAGACAAGGGAGAATGGTAGCATAAAGCTGTTTCCAGCCCCTGACTTATATATGGGCATAGTTAAATTCTCAGAGTTATCTGAAGTTGTCTGTAGATTCAGTCCTTGGCTTTTTGTCAGTACCACCTGTTTGCAAGCCTTCAAGGAGTACCAGTCTCAGTGTTAATTCCACCCTTTGGAGCACAAATCCCAGAAGTTCCCTGGCACTAATATAAAAAGAAATTTTCCAGCACCCTGTTGTTTTTTGAGAACAAAGTAGGGTTCCCCACTCCAACCCTGTCTCCTCCAACAGAAACAGAGATTTTCTTGTCCTGGAACTGAAAAATATTGTAGTTGGATTTTTAAGTAGAGATAGGATAGTACATAGTGAACAGAATATACCTGATAATATTAAGATCAAGCCAGAATACTTGATAATAATAATAACAATAATTTTAGTGTCTTCAAGGTAAACAGAGGAAGTACTTCCAAAGCACAACCCCTGGAAATCAGCTTTACTGAGAACGAAGAAGCTGTGTCAAAAATACACAGTTCTCTGGTATATTTAAGAGATTGCAATATAGTTAATTATGTTACCAAAATGAATACATAGAACAAGAAACCAATTCTAAGCAAACTTGGGATTTTATTTTACAAATTGTATGCTTTAATGATTTTAAAATTTTATCTTGAGTTGAGCATTAACAGTATCTAAAAATATGTAGCATAAGAATCAGGAAGGTCGATAATTTCTCAGCAATACTTTATTACTAGGATTTTAAATTTATAAAGAATAGTGTTATCCTAAAAATACTTTTTATCTTTCAGAAATATACTCAGAGCAATGGACGAAGACCTTTTGGTATTTCTGCCTTAATTGTAGGTTTTGATGATGATGGTATCCCAAGATTGTATCAGACAGATCCCTCTGGTACCTACCATGCTTGGAAGGTGAGTCATGAGTTTACTAATTTGTTCTGGAAGTTGAGTAACTACTCACTCTGAATGCCTTATAGCTTTCAGGGACATGACAGAATTATGTTGCATTAAAATATTGATGGTAACACAAACTTCATAAATGTATCCATTTAACTAGTCAGAAATAATGATGGTTTTGGATAGGTAACATCTTGGCTTATTGATCACAGGTTCTTTTCTTATCTCTTGAAAAGATGTGACAAACTCAAGAGTCTGTAAATGGCCAAATGAAATACTGTATATAATTCCTATTCATTGTACATTCTTTCAAATTAGTGTTGCACTATATAGATGCCTGCTTTAGAAATACTCTCCAGGAAGCCGGCTTTGTGGATTATTAAGTAAAGCTGCGGCCTGCAATGACGATATCCCATATGGGTGCTGGTTCAAGTCCCGGCTGCTCCACTTTCAATTCAGTTCCCTGCTGATGCACCTGGGAAAGCACTGGTTGATGGTCCAAGTGCTTGGGCCCCTGCACCCATGTGAGAGACCCAGAAGAAGCTCCTGGCTCGTTGCTTTGGCCTGACCCAGCCCTGGCCATTACAGCCATCTGGGGCGTAAGCTCTCTCTCTAACTCTTCTTTTCAAATAAATAAAATAAATCTTTATTTTTTAAAAAAGAAGCAGTCTTCTGGCTTCAAATGAAGCATTAAATGAGCATTTAAACTCCATGCTGAAATATTTAATGTGCCTTCTCTTCTAGGATTCTGAGCACCCGAAGGTATGAATCTATACTCCTATGTTTGTATTCTAGCAATGATCTCCCACAGAATTCTTGAAATATAGTTTGTTTTCTGGATGAGTTGTTATCCTTGTTTTGGTGTCCAACTACTGACTTTTTTTTTCTTACCTTGTTCCGTTTCTTCTTCACCATAACCCAGCAGGGCTTAACCGGCAGCTTTACAAATTAGGAAGTTAAGGTTCAGAGATGTTGGGTAACCTGCTCAAAGATATGAGCCAGGAAATGGAAGGGCTAAAGCAAAATCTGGCATTCTTGACTCCGCTCTAGTTCTCTACCATATAGGAGGTTGTTTGGATTTTTTACATTTTTAATCTGGCAAGTTTCTCTGTAGAAATCAAACTGTTTTTCAGAACTTTCATAATCACAGGGTCCTTAGTCAATACATTTCTTTTAACTTACTGAATGATGTATTTTTTTATTTATTTAAGGTATACAAATTTCATGTATTTCAAATATATCAATTCAGGAACACAGTGATATTTTCTACCCTATCCTCCCTCCCACCCATGCTCCTACCCTTTTTCCTCCTTCCTCTCCTAGTCCCATCCTTATTATTTACAAAGACCTATTTTCAGTTAACTTTATACTCATAAGATTAACTCTTACACTAAGTAAAGAGTTCAAAAAATAATATGAAGAAAAACACTGTTTCTCAATAGTTGAGACAAAGGCTGTTCAAAGTCATTGCCTTTCAAACTGTTAATTTCACTCCTATAGATTACCTGTTAGGTACTCTGTTACCTCAGATCAGGGAGAACATACCATCTTTGTCTTTTTGGGACTGGCTTATTTCACAAAGTATAATGGTTTCTGGTTACATCCATTTTGTTGCAAAAGACGGGGTTTAATTTTTCTGTTCTCCTATGTAGAATTCCATAGTATATATGTACCATATTTCTTTATCCAGTCTTCAATTGATGAATATCTGGGGTGATTTCATATCTTAGCCATCACGAATTGAGCTGCAATAAACATGGGGTACAGTCACTCTTTCCTATTCTGATTTCTTTTCATTTGGGTAAATTCCCAGGAGTGGGATTTCTGGGTCATATGGTAGACCTATATTCAAATTTCTGAGGTATCTCCATATTGGGTTAACTAGTGGCTGCCCCAGTTTACATTCCCACCAACAGTGGATTAGGGTACCTTTTTCCCTACATCCTCGCCAGCATTTATTTTTTGTTGACTTCTGTGTGAGAGCCATTCTGATTGGGTTGAGGTGAAACCTCATTGTGGTTTTGATTTGCATTTCACTGATGGCTAGTGATCCTAAGAATTTTTCCATATGCCTGTTGGCCATTTGAATTTTTTCTCTTGAAGAAAAAGACTTTTCAAGTCTTTTGTCCATTTCTTAACTGGGTTGTTTGTTTTGTTGTTGTTGAGTTTCATTAGCTCTTTATAGATTCTGGATATTAGCTGATTATCAATTTCATAGTTTGCAAATAATTTCTCCCATTGTGCTGGTTGCCTCTTCACTTTGCTGCATGTTTCTTTTGTAGTACAGAAGCTTCTCAGCTTTATGTAATCCCATTTGTCAGTTTTGCTTTGATTGCCTGTGCTTCTGGGGTCTTTTCCAAGAAGTCTTTGCCTATGCCAATGTCTTGAAGGGTTTCCCCAATGTTCTCTAGTAATTTAACAGTATCAGGTCATAGGTTTAGGTCTTTGATACATTTTGAGTGGATTTTTGTGTAAGATCTAAAGTAATGGTCTTGTTTCATACTTCAGCATGCAGAGATCAGTTTTCTCAGCACCATTTGTTGAAAAGACTGTCTTTGCTCCAGCAATTGGTTTTAGCTCCTTTGTTAAAGATAAGTTGGTTTTACATGTGTGGATTGATTTCTGGAGTTTCTGTTCTGTTCCATTGGTCTACACATCTTTTTTGCCAGTACCAGGCTGTTTTGATTATGACTGCACTATAGTATGTCTTTTGTTTTTTTTTTTAGTTTTTATTTAATGAATGTATTTTTCATAGGTACAACTTCAGGAATATAGTGGTTCTTTCCCCCATACCCACCCTCCACCTTGACTCTCATCCCACCTCCTTCTCCTTCTCCCATCCCCTTCTTCATTATGGTTTATTTTTAGTTTGATTTTTATATACAGAGGACAACTCCATGTTAAGCACAGATTTCAATAGATTGTACCCCCCCCACACAGACAACCTATAGAGTACAGTTTGAGAACAAGATTTGTAGTTAATTCTCATAGCACAACTCATTAAGGATGGGGGTCCTACATGGGGAGCAAGTGCAAAGTGACTTCTGTTGTTCCTTTAACAATTAACACTCTTATTTATGACATCAATGATCATCCAAGGCTCTTGCCATGGGCTGCCCAGGCTATGGAAGCCTTTTGTGACCATAGACTCCATCGGTATTTGGGCACAGCCATAAGCAAAGTGGATGTTCTCTTCTCCCTTCACAGAAAAGTACATCCTTCTTTGATGGTCTTTTCTTTCCACTGAGGTCTCACAGAGATCCTTTGTGTAGGATATATTTTGCCACAGAGTCTTGGCTTTCCATGCCTGAAATGCTCTCACAAGCCTTTTCCTTTTATCCTTTTTTACTGCTATATAGTATTCCATAGTGTACATATCCTACAATTTCTTTATCCAGTCTTCGGTTGATGGGCATTTAGGTTGATTCCATGTCTTAGCTATTGTGAATTGAGCTGCAATAAACATGGAGGTGCAGAAAGTTCTTTTGTTTACTGATTTCATTTCCCTTGTGTAAATTCCCAGGAGTGGGATTGCTGGGTTATAGGGTAGGTCTATATTCAGATTTTTGAGGTATCTCCATACTGTCCTCCATAGTGGCTTTACCAGTTTATATTCCCACCAAGAGTGGGTTAGGGTTCCATTTTCCCTACATCCTCTCCAGCATTTATTGTTTGTTGATTTCTGTATGACAGCCATTCTAACTGAAGTGAGGTAAAACCTCACTGTGGTTTTGATTTGCATTTCCCTGACAGCTAGAGATCCTGAATATTTTTTCTTGTGTCTGTTGGCCATTTGGATTTCCTTTTTTGAAAAATGTCTGTTTAAGTCCTTGGCCCATCTCTTAACAAGGTTGTTTGTTTTGTTATTTTGGAGTTTCTTGATCTCTTTGTAGATTCTGATTATTAATCTTTTTTTTTTTTTTTTTTTTTGGACAGGCAGAGTGGACAATGAGAAAGAGAGGCAGAGAGAAAGGTCTTCCTTTTTCTGTTGGTTCACCCCCCAATGGCCGCTGCAACCGGCATGCTGCGTCTGGTGCACTGCGCTGATCCGAAGCCAGGAGCCAGGTGCTTCTGGTCTCCCATGCGGTTGCAGGGCCCAAGCACTTGGGCCATCCTCCATTGCCCTCCCGGGCCACAGCAGAGAGCTGGACTGGAAAAGGAGCAACTGGGACAGAATCCAGTGCCCCAACCGGGACTAGAACCCAGGGTGCCGGCGCTGCAGGTGGAGAATTAGCCTATTGAGCTGAGGCACCAGCCTGGTTATTAATCTTTTATCAGTTGTATAGTTTGCAAAGAATTTCTCCCATTCTATCAGTTGCCTCTTCACTTTCCTGGTTTTTTTTTTTTTTCCCCTGTACAGAAGCTTCTCAATTTGAGGTAATCCCATTTGTTCATTTTGCTTTGACTACCTATGCCTCTGGGGTCTTTTCCAGGAATTCTTTGCCTATGCCAGTGTCTTGCTAGGTTTCCCCAATGTTCTCGATTAATTTTATGGTGTTGTGGTGTAGATTTAGATCTTTAATCCATATTGAGTGGATTTTTGTGTAAGGTGTAAGGTAGGGGTAGGGGTCTTGTTTCATACTTCTACATGTGCACATCCAGTTTTCCCAGCACCATTTGTTGAAGATTTTGTCCTTGCCCCAGGGATTGGTTTTAGCTCCTTTGTCAAAGTCAGTTGTAGATGTTTGGATTGATTTCTAGTGTTTCTGTTCTGTTTTCTTTTTTTAAAAAACGATTTATTTATTTGTGAGAAAGAGTTACAGAGAGAGTTTGAGACAGAGAGAGGTCTTCCATCCGCTGGTTCACTCCCCAGATGGCCCTAGCAGCCGGAGCTGCACTGATCCAAAGCCAGGAGCCAGGAGTTTCTTCTGGGTCTCCCACATGGGTGCAGGGGCCCAAGGACTTGGGCCATCTCCCACTGCCTTCCCAGGCCATAACAGAGAGCTGGATTAGAAGAGGAGCAGCCGGGACTAGAATCGGCATATACATTTATAATAGTCACATCTGGTGCTGTG